CTTTCACTAGGTCATGCTCCTGTGTATAAAGAGAGGAAGTTTTGCAGGCACTTAGAGCCTCAGAGCTTAGAATGACTCTGAAAGTTTGTTGGAATCTTCTGTGCGAAAAAATATTTGCATAAATGTAGTGGGGAGAGATTTAAATGCTCTTTTCTCTATAGAGGAAACATATTGTTCCTTAGTCTCTGGCCAGTCCTTTTCTTGGGATGTTCTTGAGACATTTTAGTCTCTGATGATCTGATTATGGAAAAGAACACTTTCTTTTAATTATTTCTTCTATTCCAGAGGAAAGGTATTCTCTGTGCTTTTGTACATTTCCAGTGCTAGTGAATATCTGGTTCTCTAAATGTTGTTCTTAAATGAGAAGCAGAAAGTTGTTCATTTTGGGGTTGAAGTCAGGATGGAGTCAGGCATAGCTCAAGTGCTGGAAAAAGAGGCCCTGGCTAATGCTGCAGGCTATATTAACAACTTCTCATTTGTATAGGCCTTCCTATGTATTTTTGTCTGCCTTGTAAATTAGGAGTTCCTTGGGGGTAGGAAAACTGTGTCCATCCACCTGTTTGTACAAGCATTCTCATTAGTATTTGAACACTCATCCACTCAAATGCTGCCTGATCCCTGGAGTGGAGTTGAGGGGGCTTGGCTGGCAGCATGTGCAGTTCTCAAGGTGGTGCAGCAGCTGCTCCTTGTGTGCTGCCTCCCAGAGCTCCTGCTAAGTAGTATTGACTGTGAACACGGTGCAGAGGAGTTTTTTTAGGGCACAGCTGTCACTGTGATACTATATATTCACCTGGTGTACCCATCCGCTCACAACAGAGCGTAGTAAGAATTCTCTGTAGTGTGTTGGGGGGAACATGTGATAATTCCAGCCCGCCAACTTGCTTTAAGCTGGGGATGTTGGAAGTCAGATGTCTGTCTTGTAGGAAATTTATGAGGGCTGAAAATTTACATCTCTGAGGCAGTACATACTCCTCTGCTTTTCTGAGAGCAGTGAGATGTTTGGTTTTTCAAGATAAAATCAGTGCTTGGGCTTGAGGCACTAAAGAACTACTATTAAAATTAGGTCTGTTGGTGTTACCCTGGATTGGATTTTGTAAATCAATTGACAGAAATAACTCTACCCTGAAACTCTGATGAATGTCTCGCTGTAGCATTAAATAAAAGCATTTGCAGCACCTAGCAACTGAAAGCTATGTTGTAGTCCAGAGCAAGGAGTTAAGACTATTACAAAGGTTTTCCAAAATCATTCTGTCTAGAACTTGCCCAGAGATTTGCTTTAGGAAAAAGGATTGGTGGTCAAACTGAAAAATACATATTTATCTTTGACAATAATATATTTCTCTAAATTTGTTACTTCTTTTAATAGAAGAGACACTGATAAGAGCAAAGTATAATTTGCTATGGAGACAGATCTGGGTTTCCAGTCTAATTCTAAGGCTTAATTAGCATTAGTCCTTCAAAAATATTTTCAAAAATTATTTTTAAATAGAAAATATTTAGGCTTTTTTTTAATAGAAACTATTTCGGAAAGACACAGTGAGCTCTTTTCTGCTTGTGATTTATATTTAGTAAATGTTTTAGTAGATCAGAGATGAATTTTCAAAGGAAAATACCAACAGATAAAAGATAAACTCTTTGCATTCCATTCCTTTCAGCTGGATCTTTAGAAATGGGAACAAGATAGTCTTGAATGTGCCTTGACACTTCAGATCTTTGTGCCCTGTGTCTCCATCTGCACACTGGTATTTTGTTCACAACAATTACTGACTGCTCTTGATGTCTGCTGGAAATGCATGCTGTGCCTTCACTTGAAACACTCACAGAGATGTCTCTCAGGTTCTAACTAAAATACATGTAATTTTGTACTTTGATTTTCATGTTTCATACAGATTATGCATCCAGTCTTTAATAATGTCTTCTATATAAAATTCTACAGGACAAAATAATCTAATGTGCTTTTAACCAGTGGGAAGACCTTGAGAAGAAGCAATTCTTTCCCGATACCTACTACTTGTCTGAATTGCAGATACAATAAATTAGATATTTTATACTTGTGAGTCTTGCTGTCTGGTAAGTAAGGCTAAGCTGATTTTTAGAGGTAAAGTGACATCAATGGAGCGCTGTCCCCTGAAATGGGAATTGAATAAATAGACTTGTATGAAAGAATCCCACACAGAATTTGCTACCCTTACACTTAGTTGAAGAAGTTGAAGCCCTTTAATTTCCTTTTTAGATAGTGACTGACTGAGCCATGGTTGAGGCTTTTTCCTTCTCCTTCACAGCAAGGTGCTCCTGGAGCTCCTTGCCTCAGAAACAGTGTTGCAAAGTTAGAAAGTCATGTAAATCACAAATTCAGAGTTACTGAGGACTTTTTTGTTTGAGAGATTCTTGTGATGAATGTTTTTTAATTCAGGTTGTATTTTCTAAAATATTAGGTGGAAAATATCCTGTTAGAAGAAGTGAAATTAGGTCACATTTTACAACCATCCCCTCCCTCTAAATGGACTCTCATTCTAGGAGGATTGTATTTGCTGTGACATGATTTTAAGGTATAGCAATTACCTGTGGGGCTACTAAAAGCAAAAGTCAGAGCAAGTGAGAGGGAAAGCAAGTGTGTTAGAGCTATGTTAAACTAGCCCAGATCTAGAGTGTGTTATCCTGTCTCTGGATGCTCTGCTTCTCTGGGTTTATTTTGTTTGAGGCATCACTGGGGAATGAAGGGAGAGATAGATGTGTTGAGTAAGAATACCCAAATTACAGCAGATGTTTGACTTTCAGGAACTGGGTTGATGTTCAAAAACCAGTGTTGTTGACAAGAAAAACATGTGTTGGGGGGAGTGTCCTAGAATTTGGAACCAGCATCACACAGTTAATATTCTGTGGCAAGAACTTGTATGTTTCATGAGGAGGTTAAAAGTGGTGTCTTAGAAAAGTGATAAGTGATGTGTGAAGATTATTTATTAAAAAAAAGGACAATTTGAAAAAGACAGAAGTTTCCTACTTGATGAATTCAAGCCTTACTGACTCATTTGTCTGAGTTTGGCTTTAGTTTGCCCTTTCTTTACTTTTTATTCTTTTGCAGATTTCTCAAGATATTTGAGGGACTAGGCAAGGAAGAATCTTTGAGTAACTATACAAGTATATGTGGGTGTACAAATGATCCATATTCTTTATGGGCTTCTGGATTCTGTGTACTTGGCACAATGCAAGTCAAAAAAATGGATAGAAGCTAATGTTTGTATAACAGGTTAGAAAAGCTATGCTTGTAACACAAATCTTTGGGTTTGTTTTTTGTTTTTTTTTTTCTTGTGAGGGTGCATTAGACTGCAGGATAGAACTCAATCTTTTAAACTACCTCAAAATATTTCCCCCATCCCTCAATTCCTTAACACCAGAAAAACATATTGGGGAATAGTACTGCCATTATCAGTCAGCTCTGCTTGCATGAGAACATAGTATTTGTGGCTGTCTTTCACTCAGAAAACACAGAACTCTTTGCTTCTATCTCAAATGAAAAGGTATTAAAACTTGTCTCTTTCAGTCAAATCAGTTCTGGGAATTACTTACAGTGCCTAATTCTGAAGTAATCTTTACTTTTGAATAGTCTGAGTATCCAGGGTGCTGTGTGTTCAAGCACTCTGATACTAGAGCTAGTGTTCTAATAAACTGACACCTCCCATTGTCAGACTACACTGTCAGTTGGGCTTCTGGCCTCAATACTGAGCACCTTTAACAGCGTGTTAAGAAAGGGCTTTTTCCTTTTTTTTGCTTATTCATCTTTGCCAGTAAAGCACATGAGCTAACAGTCTAGGAAATTGTTTTGGAAAGAGCATTTTTCTTTAGTATGTATATATTTAAAAGTGGCTAGAAATTTGACTTCATGGTTTCAGACTGGCAGAATTCACAGGGGACTTTTGGCTCATAATCAAACACATCTTTATTTTATGTTCACTGTACTGAAGGAACAGAATTTTTGAATGCAGCCTTTGTTGTAGTACTTTAGATTATCCTTGGGATTTTTAGTGAAGAATGCAAGGAAGTGAATTTCTAAGAAAAAAAGACCTATAGCTTATATCCATGCTCTTTCTGTTGTGGGTGCTGAAAGCTGGAGACAGCTCTGATGTGTTCATTAAAATTTGTCTGGCTGATGGTAGGTTAAGGCTTTTCTGCTTCAGTGCTGTACTGGTGTTATCCATACAGAAGCTGGGAGGGCTGTGTAAAATTGAGATCAGGGTGCTGTCCATTCAGAGAAGATGCAGTTCACAAGCTGACTGGAGCGAACAAAATCTGTTGCCACAGCGAACAAACAGAACTTTTGGACTGTTGTGTCAGTTGTTAGGTTTGTGGTTGCAGCACTGTGGTTTCTTATTTCTGAGAGTGCTGGTCTTTGGAGTGTGAGGTCCAACAGTTGGTGAGATGGGTATGCAGTAATTTGTGTTGGTAATGGAGCTGCAGTTGTATATGGGTAAGGTTAAGTAGAACAATTTCCTCTAAAGCCTGCTATTAAAGAAACAAAGTGTGCCGAAGGCCACTCACACACATTCATTTTCTGTCCCCTCAGTGAAATGAATTAATTGGGGGAAAATGGCTTTTAGGAGAAAAAAATAGAATAAAATCATGCAGTGGATAGTGGCTCATTCATTTTCTGCTTCTGAGTAATATCTTTACATACTGCTGCTGTATAGAGATAATGATCCCCTTGAGACAGGGATAATAGGTGGTAAGGGAACCACTACATTGTGCTTAACCTCTCAAAATGGAAGTAACAAGTAGATGGTGTCCTGGACCTTTGCAGAAGTGTGAGTTAACTTTGATTTGTTTAATTCCCATAAGTTTTGATTTTTCAACCATATAATAATGGATACAACTATTGTTCTATCTATTTGTGTATTTTTTGCTGTATCTATTCTGTACTATAATTCTGGGCAAGTTCTTCAGCTGTTTTGGATACAGAATGACTCATCAGGGTAAGACTTTTTCTTTTGTCTTTTTCCACACAGATCACCCCTGGCAGCAAGGCAGCACAGTCACAGATGAACCAGGGGGACCTTGTCGTGGCCATTGATGGAGTCAACACTGACAGCATGACCCACCTGGAGGCCCAGAACAAGATCAAATCAGCCAGCCACAACCTGAGCCTCACTCTGCAGAAGTATGTTGGAATAACTTAAACTCGTGTTCCTAAGGATAATGCATGAAACTTACCACTGAAGGCTGCAAGTTTTTTATCCCTGTCTGTTATTTGAAGTGCTCATGGCACAGATATGAGATGAAAAGCCAAAATCTGCTCTGATTCTTGTAGAAGTCAGCACAGACTCCTACAGAAATGGAATGATTAGGTTGGGTGCATCTGTGTGGGATTTAGCCTATTGAATACAGGTGTAATCTCATATCCATGCAAGCTTCTGTTAAATGAATCCAACAGTGATGTTTCTTCTCATGTGGGCAACCCAGTTCAGTCTGGCTAATTTGTGAACAACTGTTCTAGAGACAACAAACAGAACAAGTGTTACAAGTGCATGGGAGGAGCCTCGTGACAATTTGTGACAATGGTCTGGCACCTGTGCATTGGAAAGTCTGCTCTGTATCTGACTCAATAAGAAAGGTGTAGCCCAAGGGCAGGAAAGGGAGGCAGTAGAACATGGAGAGGGCAGGTTTTTTCTTAGAGATGTGATAAAAGTTACCATTTACTTGCCATTAAGAAAGCAGTTAATAGGTCTTTTAACTTCTGCTGGTTAATGTTGCTTCCAAGGAAACTTGTTCTCGAGTTACATAACCTTGCACAGAGGATTTCTGTAATAAATGCATTAATATTTAAAGCTCCATAATTATGGGAAGAGATGTAGCTGCTAATTTTATTGCATTGTGAAGAAGAAAATTTTCGTACAGGACAGACAAAGACAAGTAGAGAAAGCAGACTGTAATGTGGAAGTACAATTTCTGACAATATACCAAAGAATCTCATCTATGAATGTGCAGTAGAGATAATCAGTATCATGAACATACTAATAGCTAAAGAATAAGGGGTTTAGATGAAGTTTCCAAGACAGAACAGGGTACTATAAATCAAAATATGTGGCTGATTTTCCCCCATAGCTTTAAGTTTGTGTTTGAGTGTTCCAGATAGAGTAGAAAATCACTATCTTGATGCATGTGGTTGAATTCTCATCCTATCACCCACTTCAGCTTTTTTCTTCACTTGGAGTTACTGTGTTATTGCAAATATAATTTTGGTGGTTTTTTTGCAAATATTTAGATTGTTCTGAATATTTTTTATTTAAAAGTTAGGAAAAATCCTTTCTGATTGTTAGAATGTCTGTCTGATTTTCTGTTGAACCTTTGTATTTTTACATTGGGAGAAAACATTATTTTGCTTTGGGTTGTTCCACATTTGGTACTAATTTTCCTGAATATTGAACCCAAAAAATTCTTCAGTGTCTGCCTCTATGGCCTGGCCATAGAGACAACCTTATAAGTTTTAAAATAGCAAACCAAAAGTACTTATTCACAGAAGGATTTCCAAATTCATGACTAACAAATCCAGATTATCCTAATCATATCACAGAGACAAGTTACTTTCAACAGTTATTTTGATCAAGTGTTGCCAGAGATTGTGGCTGATTTTCCCCCATGGCTTTAAGTTTGTGTTTGAGTGTTCCAGATAGAGTAGAAAATCACTATCTTGATGCATGTGGTTGAATTCTCATCCTATCACCCACTTCAGCTTTTTTCTTCACTTGGAGTTACTGTGTTATTGCAAATATAATTTTGGTGGTTTTTTTGCAAATATTTAGATTGTTCTGAATATTTTTTATTTAAAAGTTAGGAAAAATCCTTTCTGATTGTTAGAATGTCTGTCTGATTTTCTGTTGAACCTTTGTATTTTTACATTGGGAGAAAACATTATTTTGCTTTGGGTTGTTCCACATTTGGTACTAATTTTCCTGAATATTGAACCCAAAAAATTCTTCAGTGTCTGCCTCTATGGCCTGGCCATAGAGACAACCTTATAAGTTTTAAAATAGCAAACCAAAAGTACTTATTCACAGAAGGATTTCCAAATTCATGACTAACAAATCCAGATTATCCTAATCATATCACAGAGACAAGTTACTTTCAACAGTGATTTTGATCAAGTGTTGCCAGAGATATTTAATTTGAGTAATCATTGTGCTTTTTTATTTGCTGACCTCTAAATTGCAACATCACCAATTCTAGTGGCCACATGATTAAAAAAAAAAAACAACAACAAACAAACACCCAAATAACATATAATTCAGATACTCAAGTTATATGGGTAAAGAACAACCAAAGAAAGCAGTAATTAAATAACATATAATTCAGATACTCAAGTTATATGGGTAAAGAACAACCAAAGAAATGTAATGGAGTGTTCCAGAGACTGAAATATGCTTGCATAGATAATAGATGTAGATATTTTGAAAATAAGGAAAATGGCATAAAGTAAAATTAAATACTAGTAAATAGATGATCATTTTCATTTGATAAAAAGCTGTTTTTTCTCAGATGATGTTTGTGCTCTGAACTTATACAATTAATGGACTCTTCTCTTCAGCTACTTTATGATGTGAGCTATTAGTTCACCTTGGGGACTCATTCAGCCTCATTGGGAAAACCCAATGAAAAAGACTGAAAAGTAATTTTTTTTATATAATTTTTTTTATTAGATGACATGAGGCTGTTCAAAAAAGTTGTGCTCAGAGGCATTAAGCTGGCTTTGCTTTGCACAATTCAGAATTTATAGACACTAAATCCTAGCAACAAATGATATTGACCAACTGAGGTACACACAGAACCCTATAAAGGATACAATGTCTTGAACAAAAGGCATCTCCACTATATTCAGGAAGTTATATTAATCTTGCCTTAAATTTTTTTTTTTCCTTGACACAAATGGGTTCATTTACCCAAGGACAAAAAGATTGTTAGCTTAGTCATCTGCCCAAAATGTACAATGTAATATCCTTTTTCAGCAAAGAATTTTACAGATATTGAATTGGTGAAAAGAATAACATGAAAAGAAGGTAGCAGTGACAAGGGATAGTAACTTTCAACCAAATAAGAACAAGACAGAAGAGAGGCAAAATCTCCTGGGACGTGGTTACCAGGAAAATGACTGTGCTAAGAGATCACTTTGACTTTTTTTAGACATGGCTTGCAGCAATGAAACTGGAGCAGTGTTCTACTACTATGGAAAAACAGCCCTAGTTGCCATAAAGAGCACAGAGATGGAACTGCTCACTTACCCTATTTGTATAAAAGTTTGTAAATGCTGGAAATCCTTTCCAATGGAAAAGGCACATATGTGCATTAGGAGCTTTGACTGTTGTGATAGGAAAACTTAAGCTCTAAATTGTGGTGATATTGGACATGTATGTGAACTAGTCACATGGTTCTACAGAATATGTTTCAAGGTCATAGAGAGCCTTACCAGGCAATCTGTGGGTTGGTTTCGCTGTTGCAGCACTGGAAGTAGAACTGATCTCGCTTTTTTGTCTGTAAGTCCATGGAAGAAGCAGTAGAATGTGAAATCTTGACAAAAATGCTCCGAGATAGAAAGCTTTTTTTTTTCCTAATGGTTCTTGGCTCTCAAGAGCAATGGCCTTTCCCTTTATTGGTCGTGGCCGTGAAGGTTTCATGAGCATTGTTTATAACCTGGCAGTTAAGACACTGTTTGCTGCTACTCACTTTTATTACAGCACTTCGTTCCCTGTGGACTTTTTTCAGGGTGGGGAACTGCTTGTTGTTTTAATTTGGCTGTCAAAAAAAGCTGTACATGGTGTCAGCACTTGTGCAGGATGTCCGACTGCAAGGCATCAATCATTGAAAAAAAGGAAGTGTTAAGAGCCCCCACTCATACTTGCCTGCCTAAACTGTGATTTCCTTCATGAACTTAGTTTTAATTCAAGTAGCACCTGCACTGTTCAAGGCACACTAACCTTCCATGAATGTTCAGTGCTGGCCTGAGTGGAGCTTTCCATGTTTCAGCCATGGCTTCAGGAATTTGTGGATGTCAAGTGTTTTCTGACAACTGCCTTCCCTAAACTCCCTCTTTAATTTGTTCTTGTCCTCTCAACCATGCTATGTTTTCACATAAACCCACAAAATTAGACTGGAAGTTTCACCAGTTATGCCAGAGGTTTGATCAGGCTGCCACAACTTGTTAGTGGCTTCAGCTGCATTGTCTGGCTGCCGATTTCTCTAGAGCCTGCAGTGTGCCTCCCTTTGCTGCTTCTGGGAAGCAAAAAGATGCAGCCAGGCAAGTGCTGGGAAGTTGAGGTATTTGGGCCATGCCTGGAGAAAGGGACCTGTCATACAGTGATGTGGCAATGTCTGGCACCCTTCAGACTAGCACTGCTTCATTAAGTTTAGAAGACAAAGTACATCGAGGATGTGAATTCTTTTTTGCTGAAGAAAGGAGCAGGAGTGAGAGGAGAAGGCAAGAAGTGTCTTTGGCACTGTGCATTATTACTCAGCAGAACTCCCATGAGGCACTCAGGCAAACCAGGCTGATATTCTAAAGTGTTACATACCTCAGTAGATGCCTTAGAAATCTGCATTGCTCTAGGTGTACTGAGGGGGGATTGGTGCTGGTTCTGCTGGACTGTGCTGTGGAAGGCTATGATTATACTCTATAATGGCCTGGGTTGGGGTGGAAAAAAGACATTGCTTTGCTTTTAGTCTTTTTGTGACCTCCTGGAGTTCAGTTCTCAGTCATTTTTCAGTATCAGTTTCTAATCAGTTACTTGAGCTACACAGCTGCCCTCAGGCATTTTAATTCTAGGCCAGTCAAAGTTCATCTTTAATTGTCTGTCTGTCCCACAGATATTAGGCCATAAACATTGGATCATGCGGTATTCAGTTCACAGTGAAAAACAAAATGCATGCAAAGTCTATTTTTATTTCATACAAATGGATTTCTTTCTTAAATGCACAGTAAATACAAAAAGAGAGCAGCATTATTTGTCAACATGTTTCACTGGAGCGTCCACAACATAACTCAAGTAATCTGATCAGCCTCCTTGGAAAGGATTCACCAAATGTACTGGCTTAGTTTTGGAAAGTGCTGTAACATGAGTGTGCCTCATTCTGCTGGCACAAACATTCCTGTGTCACTCTAAGGCTCCGCTT